CGTTTCTTCTGCTGGTTTGGAGCTCTGCCCACACAGCGATCAGAGCCAGTGTCTCCTGTATGCTCCACGCTGGAGCGCGTTTGCATACCTGTACAGCCATGATCAGCCGTGGTGGTGAGCTCTCCACACTGATCAAACAGGAAATGAAATTCAAAAGTTCCCAGGGCTTTGCCTGTGTACCTGGCTGAAGAGCAGTGGAGTTGAAAGTGATGTCCAGAGCGGTCACATTGGAGCACTCTGGGACACCTCCCGGAGGCCAATCCCATCAAATTACACAGCGTTGTGTCTACACCACCCCTAATTCGACCCGGGAAGGTCAGCGCTAGTGCTACTCCTCTCGCCGAGGTGGAGTACAGGCATCGATTTTAGAAGCCCTTTATTTCAGCAGAAAGGGCTCTGGAGTGTAGACAGGCACATTATAAATTAGACCCAACACAGGGAATGTCGATCTAATGCCGTAGTTTAGACCAGGCCGTAGTCTCACTGACTTTAATGAAACACTGGCTCCCAGGGGCCACATTTTCAAAGGTATCTAGGCATAAAGTTGCAGATGGTGCCCAATTGTGATGCGTGTTCTGAGCTTGATGAGTCATCTGAGGTAATTACCTGCCAGTTCTAAGGCTCCAGCCAATCCACAAGCTAGGGTCTAACCAAGTGACCCCCAAGGCAGGCTCCTCATGAAAGCAGCCAGCACAGTCTGCCTGGTGTTGCTACCTTGCTGAGATGTGCCCAGATGTGCCCAGATGTGCCTGGTAGTTCTGATGGACTGCTCCGGCTCCAGCCACAGCCAGTCACCAGGCTGCCCTGTCACCAATGGGATTTTCAAACAGTGCCTAAGAAGGTTAAGGGCCAGATTTGTAACGGTATTTAGGCACCTAGTGGGATTTTCAAAAGTCTCTATGTGGTAATTCCCATTGGTTTTAGGCATCTAGATGCTTTTGAAAATCTCACCAGGCACCTAAATACCTTTACAAATTTAGCCCTAAGTCCCTAACTCCCATGTATTCCAAAGAGAGTTAGGCTCCTAAGCTACTTAGCCCCTTTTAAAAATCCCACTAGGTGTCTATCTGTACCTATAGGTGCCTAAATACCTTTGTTAATCTGTCTCCAAATCCCTTAGGTAGCTTTGAAAATCTCAGCCTCTGTGTCTAACTTCCTTAGGCTCCTTTGAAAATGCCAGTCTAGAACTCAAGCTCTGGGCTCCCCGCAAGTCTGAAAATCTTGGCCCCGTCTTCATGTTGCCGAGGCTGGAATGAAGCTGTGGTAAGCAACCGCTTTGATTTTCTTGGAACAGTCCCTGAGAAGTCACATGGCTGCAGGCACTCTCACAGCTCTGTACCGTGAGACAGAAGAGGGATTTTTGTAATGAGGTGTAGCACTGTGTTGGGGGGATATACGACCACAGTGACACAAACTCCATAGAGTGCCGTACAAAAACCTGCAGGTGCAGGAAAAGCAATATTTCGTGGGGAAAAATACAGTAACCCGAAATTTCAGAGGAGGTAACTACAGTACTTTTTATTCTTTTTCTCCCTATTTCCATGTAGCCCCCGAGAAACAGTTTGAGCAATATCCTAAGAGCTGGGAAGAAGGTTTAGCTCAGAAGCATCTTCTGGAATAAAGTCTTTGGAATCATTCAACTACAGAATGATTTTTTCTCATTTTTGGCAGAAATAGGACACGATACACACTTCCTGGCTCTGGATAATGTGTCTTGTAAGGATAAAGTCCTGATTTTTAGTCCTCTGTCTTGGCATGTCCACGGAGGTCCTAGAGACCTATTCTTCAGCAGGCTACAAACAATGTGGATACAGATAAACTCATCTTCGGGAAAGGGACCACTGTCACAGTAGAACCAAGTAAGTACAAAGCTTTGTATGTTTAAAATTACACTCGAAGGGAAGGGGAGCATTGCTCCGTGGTTCCACACAGAAATGATTTTGCTTTCTGGGGTCTGAGAGGATTTTCTTGCCAGCTAAAGACTCAGCTCAGATGCATTGCATAGCTCCTTTGGCCCTAGCGGTCCAGATTCCCAACTTGTGCAAACCGGCATCACTCCATAGGCGTCAAAGGGCCAGATCCCTCCCTGGAGTAAACTGGATGTGGCTCTATTGGAGTAAGTGGACCCGATCCCTAGCTGGTGCATATCTGCATAGCCACAGCGGAGCCAGTGGTGTACATCCTGAGCTCATATATATTGGTGTAGCTCTACTGAGTCAATGGAGTTACATCGATTTACACTGGCTCAGGATCTGGTAATCCGGGCCAGATTTGGTGTAAAAATGCCTCAGCGCCCTAAAGGTCAGTGGCTTTGCAGGGTTTTAGGGCAGTTCAGAAGGCAGGCCCCAGGGTTGAAGGCTGATGCTCTAGGGAGGTTTTGCGATGGCTCTCTAACTCTGTGGAGTATGAGAAACTGATTTTCGGGAGCGGCACCAAAGTGACTGTGGAACCAAGTAAGTAATTCATCCAGGAAAAGAAGCGTGAGCGTTTTTCACGTTCCTGAAATAATTTTGTAATAACCTGGGGCTGAAGTTTCGAAAACTGCCTCAGCAATTGGGATGTCCAAGTTGCTGCAGAATGAATGGGAATTGGGTGTCCAGATTGCTTGGATGATTGGGAGAATGTCACCCATGAAATGTAAGGTTCTATTTAGAAAAGTAATTACAGTTTTCAGAGAGGGTTGAAATATGGGGTGGATCAATGGGACAACTTTATAACTGGTTGCTGGATTTCTTTGTCTCGAGTTCTGTGGGTGTAAACTGAAGAAATTGGAGTAGGTGGTCGTTGTTGGTTTTTGTTTTGGAAAGTGAAGCTCTAACTTAAAGGGAAAAGATCTGGGGTTTGTGAGTCAGTTCATGAAGTTCCAGAATTTCTCTGAGCGAGATGGAACATGTAAGTTTTTGTAGGGCCCGTTTGAAGTGTGTTAACACATGGCCCTTGATCTTTGGGAAAGGCACTCAGCTGAGAGTTGAACCACGTAAGTATTTATCAAGTGTATTTTTGAGCTTTTGGGGAAGGGTATAGTGGTGGAAAGGTTGATTTTATTGTTCAGAAATATCCAGCTCTGTATAGAAACTGACAGCAGAACAGTTCTTGGTTGATGATGGGTAAAATTTTCAAAAGCAGCCAAGGCTTAGATGCTCAAAAGTCTTATGTGCCTCATTTCCATTGAAATCACGTAGACACTTAGTCAGTCACATAGACTTTCAATGAGGCTTCAGCTCCTAAGGTCCAGATTTAAATGTATTTCGGTGACTACCGCTGTCGAAAGGTGCCTCGTGAGATTTTTCAAAAGCACCTAGATCTCTAACTCCCATTGAAATCAATGCATCTCGACCCGTTTGAAATCCCCACCAAGTGCCTATCTGCATCTTGAAATACCTATAAAACCAACCTAAGTGAACCTAAATACCTTTACAAATCTAGCTTGTGGGGGCTTTTGAAAATGTTACCCTTGAAAACCCAATTCCCATGAAAATGGCAGGATTTGGGTGTCCAAATTCCCTAGGCAACGTTATATGTTTTCAACCTTTTGCATACTTCATGAAGGAGATTTCCCAGAAATGCTGAAGGAAGCTAGGAGCACAGTTCCCTTGGCACTTTTGAAAAGCCTCTCCCCCATGAACATAGCACAGAGAGCGTTCAGTCATACATACCGCTGTAGATTTAAAAAGTTGTTGGGTGAGGTGGGTTAAGGAATAGTTGGATATAGGGAGAAGCTTAATATTCTGTGTGAATTTTTGCATTTTTAACAATCTTGTTTTATATTGATTTTTTTGAGAACACCGTTAAAAGAAGTGATAAAAAATTGCCTTGAGGTGGGAGGTACAATCAATTGCGTTCATTAGTGAATCTAGAAAACGTGTGTACGATTTGGGTCCTTGTTGCTGTTAAAACTCAGTAGAGTGAATTCCTAGCATGGAAATATCTGCTAGTCCAGCTTCATTACAATCAGACGGGCCAGATCTCCAGCTGGTGCCAATCAAGAGAAACCAGTGAGGCCAAATGCTCACCTGGTGTAAATGGATGTAGCTCATATGAAGTCAGTTGGACCAGCGCCCCAGGCCCCGGGCCCTGGGCCAGGTCAGCAGCTGAGGTAAATGGACATAACTCCAGTGAAGTCAATCGGGTGGGAATCTCGGGGGGTGTCATTTGCCAAAGCGCTATTGATTTTACAGAACCTCAGATGCCAAGTCCAGAAGGGGCCGTTGTGATCATTTAATCCGACCTCCTGTATATCACCGGCCACAGAACTTTCCCCCAAATAATTCCCATCGAATATCTCTTAAAGAAACATCCCATCTTGACTTAAAAATGGCCAGTGCTGGAAAATCCCTTGGTAAACTGTTCCACTGGTTAATTACCCCCAGTGTTAAAATATACACCTTGTTTCCAATCTGAATTTATCTAGGTTCAACTTCCAGCCATTGGATCACGTTAAACCGCTCTCTGCTACATTGAAAACCCATTATCAAATATTTGTTTCCTATGTAGATACCTATAAACTGTGATCAAATCACCCCTTAACCTGCTCTTTGTTAAGATAAACAGGTTCAGCTCCATGAGTCTATCACTTTCAGGCAGGTTTTCTCATCCTTTAATCATTCATCTTCTCTGACCCCTCTCCAATTTATCAACCTCCTTCTTGAATTGTGAGCACCAGAGCTGGACACAGGATTCCAGCAGAGGTTAAAATAAACTGTCTATTCCCCCTTTCTGCACCCAAGGGCGGCATTGCCCTTCTGATCTCTGTAACCTAGCTATGCCAACTTGCACCACCCAAGAATCTGTCCCAGTGCAGTTGTGCCAGCAGCCGCCGGCAGCTCCGCACTTTGAGAGTGTCAGAGATCAGAGCACGTTTCAAGGTGTTCTCTGATAAGAGCAGCCCGGCTCTGGGGGTCTCTAGCAAAGCTGTGTTCGTGTAGCTAGGAAAGACCAAAGCGGGCTCTCTAGGCACACCGTTTTTGTACTGCCGCGTGTAACAGTGCCACAACAGCTCTTCTCTTCGGCAGCGGGACCCGGCTCACGGTGGAACCAGGTACGTACTTGTTATGCTTCAACGTCTCGGAATCATTATTGCCTGGGGCTAAGAATTGTTCCTATTCGGGTGACTAAAGATAGGCTCCCAGGCATCGACTTTGACACCTCAGTAAACGGGGTGACTTTTAAAAGCGCTGCACATCCGGCCGCTGCCGCGCTCCTCAGGCCCGTCCCAAAGACGTACAATTTTCGGCCGGAGCCGCTGTGTGTTCAGGGGAGAAGCCGCTTATCGAGCCATCTCAACAAGGATTCAGGGGCCTAGGGTTTGGCGCCGGAACCGTGGCCTGTGGGTTTATGCTGGGGCTTTCTAACAGAGCCTAGGTGAGTTAGGTGCACAAGTCCCTCTGATTTCAGCACCTAGATCTCTTAGGCACCTTTGAAAATCCCCGTGTTAAATCTACTCCGGAACCCTCACCTTGAGCTAACAATTGTCTGTGGGGTGAGCTCGGGCAAATCCTAAATGCGATTCAGTTTCTCCATCTGTGAATGAGGATAATGAGACCGTATCCCCTTTGCAGAGCTCTGAGAGACTCGTGTATGGGAAGCGCTGTATGAGCGCCAGGCGTTATTTGTTACCATGATTGGTTGAGAACTCACCCCTGAGACCACCAGAGTGTGTTGTGGGGCGGGGGTGGGGAATGGAAAGAACTGCAGTGTCAAAAGTTTCCCCTTGCAAATAACTTAAGACCAAAGGGATGCTGGAAACGTCTCGCAGTTGGCAGAGATTGTTCTTTAGGGTTGGCATTTTCAAAGCCTCTTAGTGGATTTGGATGCTAAATGGCCATTAATATTAACAGGAATTATCCCAAATCTTTGAGAACCTCAACTTGGTATATACTTTACTTCCCATCAAGTGCTTTAGCCAGGGGTAAAATATCAGGGAGTATTTGTCAACCTTAAAAATACCTCCCTAAATGATCGCATTTCCTCAGTAGAGATCGCAGGTTCGTACACAGCCATTTCCCCCTTTGTTAGGAGAGGAATTAACTCGTTTCAGTGGGAATGGAAGAGCAATTGGTCTGAGCTAGGTGTGTGCTAGAGAAATGCTGCAGGTGCCCAACCCAGAGCTGGGACTCGGGGTGAGAATTTAGCAGTGTGTTTACCACTGTGAAACTCACGTTTGGAAATGGGACTAAACTCACAGTCCAGCCAGGTGAGTGGGGGCAAAAAAAAGTTTGAAGGCTTCGCATAAACTAATAGTGAAGGCTGGGGTTTTGCAAGGAGCCTAAGGGACTTAGGCACCCAGATCTCATTGAATTTCAAAGGGAATCTGACACCTAAATCCTTACAGTTCCTTTGAAAATCCCAGCTTTGGGGCAAGATAGTGACACCCTGATGTTCATGAATCTTTTACTCCACAAGAGGCCCCCATGATTTTAACAGGGTCATGCACAGAAGATGCTAATAAATGCGAGTAAAGTTCTCAGAACTTGGCCCCTAGATTCCAGAAGGTAATCCAGAAATTCACAGATTTCAGAGCACTTTCCAATCAGGTTTTTTTGAAGAGCCTTCTCATACTGTGTGCGAAGTGCTGATTCTTTAATATTTGGGAAAGGCACGACTTTGGCTGTGGAACCAAGTAAGTGTTGTATGTTCATCTCTCTCACTCTTTAGTCTGCACCTTTTCCCAGCATTAAATTCACTTTTTCTTTCAAAAGAGAGAGAGAGAAATTCTCTGGTTGTTCTGGCGCTACAAAGAAGTACAAAGATAAAGAGTTTTTTTTTTCATAAAAACGTTTCTTTCCCATTGTTAATTCCATGTTTTCCTTTGCACTGGAGAAGAACGTTATCCAGGCTGAATAAATATAGTTGGCTGAAAATTTTTGACCAACGCTTTTAAACATTGAAAATAAACATTCCCCCACAAATCCATTATGTTCAAAACCTGTCAGCTGCTTTGAAAACATTCAGGTTTTTTGTATTTTTGAACGATACATTTAATCATTTTTAAATTGAGATTTTGATTGACATGTTTTCCTTTCCTGAAAACGGCATTGTTTGATGCTAGGAGTCATTTTTATAGCCCTTTTGATATTGTTATTGCTAAAAGTTAAGAGAAATCTTCCTGGAAAAAAAAGGAAGGGCATTTCCAAACCAGGAAAATGGAGACACATTTGAAACAAATGTCCCTGTTTCTACTGGCACGACTGAGGCCGAGTAGTTACAACCAGCTGAATTTTCAGACTGAAGTGATCGGAGAGACTTCCTTTAGAGTAGCGTTTAAGACAAACTATGCAGTTATCTGCCTGGAGAGAAAGTGCTGGGCTTGGAAAGCTCCCACTGTGACTTTTGGAAGTGGAGTTAAGCTTTTGGTTGAGCCCAGGAAGGAACAGCTAGGTGGTATCGTCTATAGTGTTTGATTCCCATTGCATAAGCCAAAGGGAGATGTAGCGTCTCCATTTCACTGGTGCAAATCAGGCTTCATCTTGAGTTCTGTGCCTGGCCCTGCAGCACTGTGCGTGGGAGACCAGAGCTCTGACTTTTGGCAAAGGCACTACGCTTTCTGTTGAGCCCGGTAAGTATCATTTTTGTTATCTTTGATATGTCAGTTGACTGCATTGCTACAGGTTCGCAGCTGGTGCAAACCAGCACAGCTCTGCCTACAGTGCAGCCACGCTGGTTCTAGGTCATCCAGCAGTTTGACCTGCTGTTTCCAGTGCCTAGATAATGGGGGTATGCTGCGCCAAATTACCCCCTCCTAAATCCGGAGTTTCAGAGTAGCAGCCGTGTTAGTCTGTATCCGCACAAAGAACAGGAGTACTTGTGGCACCTTAGAGACTAACAAATTTATTAGAGCATAAGCTTTCGTGGACTACAGCCCACTTCTTCGGATGCATACATACTCTAAGGTGCCACAAGTACTCCTGTTCTTAAATCCGGAGTGACGCCATTAACAGGAATTGTGTTCCCACGGAGAGAGTCCGGCTTTAATGACTTTTATGACTATCAGTGGAGATGGGAGGTTGGAGATTCATTTCGCACTAAGGTTCTGAGGGATCCGTTTGCAATGTCGGGTTTGTCTCCCAGGGGCGGGCTGCACAATACAGGGATCACGGTACGGGGCTGTCAATAGGATAGGATAGGCCAGGCCAGAGAAGAGCTGTCTCATGTACCTGTTATTTTTATTGTAAGTTAAATTAACAAAATATCCTGGAGACCCAACACAACTGGAAAAGCAGCACATCGCTTAGCAGTGCAGAACTCGATCGCTTTGCGGGGTGTTATTGCGCTCTAGCTGGTGTGAACGGAAAGATTTCCCATCGAACTTAGCGCTGTTGCTGATTTACACCGGGGGGGATTTGGCCCTTTGATAGGCTCGAGCTCTTAGGTCAGTTTGCACCACCCCATTGAATCCCATTGATCTATGGCTGATTGACGCCAGCTGGTGTTTGGTCCCACTGACTCCAATGCAGCAACGTGGATTTATATCAGAGGCAACTTGGTTTTTCTTCATATGTACATAATTGTCAACATCTACTTCACACCTCAGAAAACCCTGGCGACGAGCAGTTAAATTTCAGGCACTGACAGTGCCCCTGTATCCCTCAGGCCATTCCATATTAACTAGGTTTTCTGGATATTCACGTTAATGAAACATTTTGAGACACCAGCATGAAGTGGTCTGATGAAATCAGATTTGTTTGCCTTTAAAGTGCCCATAATTACACTTCTCCAGAGAGGGTTCTGTTCCTTGGTTCACTCACACATGGGAAACACATTTAAAAGATGCAGTAAGAGTTGAAAAATATTGTTATAGCTCTTAGTAGAATTGCAAAAGTCTCTGAGGAAATCGGCAGCTGTAAATGAATAAAGGATTTTTGTTTTTTGCCGCCGTTACTAGGAGTGGTACCTTACTCCGGAAGTAGAGCCATGGTTTCTGGTGCATTCCTTGTAGAGCCAGGAGTAAAAGAGAGCAGAGTCGGTCACCCACTGACTGAACTTTCTCCCTTACCGTTATTGCGATGGTTATGTGTTTTGGCCACATCAAACAGCCGTGGACCACGCAGAACCTTCCCGCGGGTGCATTTATAATTTCAGAACAGGTGCCAAGATGACGCTAATGCAGGATTAAATTATGCTGTTGAGTGTTATGCGATAGGTGTTCGGAGTTTGCTAATTTTAAGGCCTCCTTGTTAAAGACTGAAGTTCTCATTCGCACAGGAGAGGCTACTGCTGCATGTGAGCTCTCACCAATATAAGTAAGTGTTAAGGACATAGGGAACCTGGGAATTGGTTTTGATATTCATATAAATGTCCACTCTTGAGTTTTCAGGCTGGGCTTTTGAGTGCACAACTCCTTTAGTCTCCTCTGAAAATCACAGCCATAGTTCCCATCTCTCTCCCCGTCTCTGTCTTCTGTAGTTCGTTCTGCGTCCGCACCTCTTGCTGGTATTTTCAGCAAGGATTCCAGCTAGTGAAGGTTGAATCTAGAAATACGGGTTTTAAAAAATACCTCAGATGATGGTTTCTCCAATTACCATCAGCAGGGCCTGTATCCGAACCTGCAATTTGGAGATGTAGCCTCTATAGCCCATCACCATATCCAAAACTGAGGGGAAGGGATGCCCTTTCCATTGCTATATCTGACCCAGAGGCGAGAGACTCCATATTCTATGACTTTATTCTATGACCCTTAACCTAACTCTCCCTCCCTTTAGAGTTTAATCTAATTAAATTATAACCATCAATTACTTGTTTTCAGAAAATCCAGGGACTTCCAGTCCATCCGTCTTTGTTGTGAAATCTGCAAAGCCAAAACAAAGCGATGGCCAAAAGTTGACGGCGGCTTGTTTAGCTAAGGATTTCTACCCCAAGACCATAGAAGTAAACATGAATCCTGAGACAGACTTGGTATACAAATCGGAAGAAGGCATTCTCTCTTCAAATGGGAAATACAGTATGATCCAGGTGGTGAAGGTTGACCCGAATGAAGAAGTGGAGTGCATTGTTAACCACGACGGAAAATCTTTTATTAAAAAGCACACTCTATCAGGTACAGTTATATGGCGCAAATGTGAATTTTATCATCGCTTTCCAGACGCACCTCATTTCATGGTGCGTCATAGTCCTGAATTCAAGGATACCCATCCCTACCCAGAAATGTTCGATAAAACTTCTAATGGGAGCTAGGGGCCGGATGTCCAGTGGTGTTTCAGTGCCCAAAGACAGCGCCCAAATATTTTGTTTCAAAAGCACCTACGCAGTTCCTTCCTAACTCATTTAGGGCCAGATGTTTAATGGTACTTAGGTCCCAGTGGGTGTTAGGCACTTAGATGTTTTTGAAAAGTCCAACTAGGTGCCTAAATCCCTTTAAAAATCTCAACCCCGGTGACATTTTAAATAGCATCTAGACGTCTAACACCCATTAATCACATAAGGCACCTGAAGGCATCTTTAGTCACTTTTGTAAATCTAACCCTAGATGGGAAATGTGTCAAACCCAATGTTTCTGTGTTGAAAAATGAGCTTTTAAGAATATGAACAAATTTCCCCATTTAATGTTTCATGACATTTTAATCAAAGTTTTTAAGGAAACATTCTCGACAATATTATTGAAATGGTGATTCGAATTTTCAGTAATGTAAAGCTGGATTTTAGCTAAACAAAGAATTTTGAACACGATTTGGATTCTATTTTTGATTTAAAAAAGAAGACCAAGATAAAGTTTGAAAAAATAAACCATGGCTCAGTTTTGAACTTAGCAATGAAACTAACTTCAAAATGTACCTTTTTCTTGGTGAAACTAGCCTTACATTTTTCAGCCAGTGCTAGTTGAAAATATTTCTATTATGACTTAGATTTTCACAGCCACCTCATGGATTTGGATGTTGAATTCTCATTTACATAAATGGGAATTGGGATTACAAATCTCAACCTTAACTTGTGATCCAACTTCACATAAAGCCTCTTATTGACACCAGTGAGACTTGGATTAGGTGTTTAATGGAAAACGCACTTTGAATCATTAAATTAATCACGGCTTTTCAAATATTTTGTTTCAAAACCTTTTCTTGGTGGAAAATAGGATTTTTTTTAAGCATGGATTTTAACAGAAAGTGTCAGCTTTTTGAGAATTTTTTTATTTTTAGTCAGAAAAAAAAAAGAATTTTTCCCCCCAAAAGGCTTTTGTTTTGGGCTGGTTTTAGCTGATTTCTCTCCCCCCCCCCCCCGGTTTTCAGCAAAACTTTTGGGCCAGAATTGTTTGGGTTTTGGTTGCTGAACACCAAAACACAACGTGTTTTTTTGTTTTGTTTTGTTTTGTTTTTGACAATATGTCTATTTTTCTGTGGGGGGGAAATAAAAAAAATTATGACCAGGTCAAAAGTTAATTTCAACCTGATTTTCAAACATTTCCATTCACTCATTACTGGGTGAGGGGAGGTTGTATTGATATTTTTTGTGCTCTTTCCACACAGCAGTGCTGCTCACCAACAATCGTTATTCCTAGGGCCCTACCAAATTCACAGCCGTGAAAAACACATCACGGACTGTGAAATCTGGTCTCACCCCTGACATCTGGTTAGTGTAGGGGAGGGGCAGGGCAGGGCGCGCTTACCATGTGCCAGGCTCCAGATGCTAGCCCTGAGCGGGCTCAGGAGGGACAGGACTTCCTTTGCCCCCACAGGGGCCACTCCCAGGGCTGAGTCAGACCCATCTCCGAGAACCTCCCACGGCTGCAGGAAGCTCCGGGGCTGCTGGCTGGGAGCCCAGCTCTGTAGGCAACACTGCCACCACCAGCTGTGCAGAAATGGAGGTGGTAATACCATGACCTCCCCTACAATTGCCTTGCAACACTCCCCCCCCCCAGCAGCCCACTTTTGGGTCGGGAGCCCCACGGTTACAACACAGTGAAATGTCAGATTTTAAAAATTCTATGACTGTGACATTGACGAAAATGGATGGTGAATGTGGGAGGGCCCTTGGTATGCATGGAGTCAGGTTGTCTGGAGTGGCTCACAACCATGAGGGCCTACCTCAGGGCAGACTGTCAAAAACAGGGCAGACACCCCAAACTGGTGGTGTGTTGTAGAATAAGATTTCACCAACTCAGTACCAAATGGGAACTCCTGGATCACCGTACCAGGCTTACCATGGAGTCACAGACAGTCCCTTTTGATGCTCCAGTCTATCTTGCCATCCAGATAAATGGGACTTAGTCACTTACACCAAAAATCACACCACACTCAGGTTGCTTCCAGTCCCAAGAGACCAGTCACTTACCCCTAGAACAATTGGCACCCTAGATCTTACACCAAAGACAACGCCTGTAGAGAATCATATAATAAACTATCGAAAGGTTTATTAATTAGGAAAAAGGAATAAGAGAGTTTCCTACAGGCTAAAGGAAGCAAACATAGACACACCAATGAGTTACCAGCTAATCCTAAGAGTGGCAGAGTTGTAGTGATCTGTCAATTCAAAGTCTTGTCAGGGCAGACCAAGGTGGCAGAACTCTCTGCCCTTCAGAGTTCAAACAGCTAAAAAGATGGAAACTTTTCCGGTGGACTTGCTTTATTTCCTTCATTCAGCTTCCAAGCCCACAGGACCAGCTTCCTTGCAAGTAGCATTTCCCAGGTGCGATAGGGCCACTATACAATCCTTTGTATTGCAATGGTTCCTGGTGGCCCATCTGAGTGTGATGGTATATCTGGATGGGCAGGGGGACGGGGGAGGGGAATGAGTCTTCTGCCTGAGGTCGTAAGTTCAGAGCAAATATTGTTAAAGTTATAAAGCAAAACTTACATCTTTTCTACAAGTTTCAGAGTAACAGCCGTGTTAGTCTGTATCCGCAAAAAGAAGAACAGGAGTACTTGTGGCACCTTAGAGACTAACAAATTTAGTCAAAGAAGTGGGCTGTAGTCCACGAAAGCTTATGCTCTAATAAATTTGTTAGTCTCTAAGGTGCCACAAGTACTCCTGTTCATCTTTTCTACAGCCATGGCAAGTGGGACTGATGCATTCAGCACCTTACAAGCATCTGAGAGAGTCTAAATCCTGGAGACATTCTTAGAAGGCTAATACCTATTTTGAGCAAAACTAACAAATAGGTGACCTGGTCTGGTCTCCAGCTATGAGTTTGTCAGTTCTTAGCTAATGCCTGCAGCCTGGGCAAGAACTGGCATCTGGCCTGCCAGCGTCACACACAGGCCGAATACAAATGAAATCCACAGTCTGGATAAAATAAAGGAATGCTACTTTGCCTGTCTGTGCAAAGTGTTTCTGTCTTCTCTCGCTCTAGATTGCTGTATTTTTCTTTAATTATTTGTGATTGTTTCCTTCAATCTTGTGCTAACTCTCTCTCTTTCTAAAATGTTTCTTTCTTTCTTTCTTTCTTTCTTTCTTTCTTTCTTTCTTTCTTTCTTTCTTTCTTTCTTTCTTTCTTATTAATTTTTATTTGTAGGTTGTTTCCCTACTTTCTGCTGAT